CTTGCTGCTCCAGCGGCTGAAGCATTGAACAGGTGAACACTTTGGAAGGAACGTGGTTTTGGTGATTATGTGAATCTATTCTGCACTAATCTGACAACTTGAGGCGTACCGATGTACCCGTGATTACAGGTGATCATCTTATTATTGCAAATGTCTCTAACGACATCAAACAGCCAGAAAAAATATCAACAATTAACTAAAGAAATAATAATGGTTTTGAATTGTTATTAAAGTAAGGCAACACTATTCATTTTAGATACAGTAGAACGGTGGAGACTATTATAGCTGGCTTTAATTACGGATCCGATGTGCATAAACACACAGATGAAGACAGAGGTGAACTCTTTCTAGGCTTACTGGAGTCAGTCAGGTTCTGCTCGTCCGGCTCAGGGTTCTGGTACAGGTCTTCCTGGACCGGTTCTTCGTATGTGGGTTCTACTGAGACCGGCTCCACCTCGTACACGTTTGCACCGTTCTCCACCTGACCAACACAACACAGACCATGCTCATCCTCATCCTCATCCTCACACGACAGCATCAGAAGCACATCAGACATGATTCACTCACACATTCTGTGCCATTCATGCGTCGCGTACACAAACACAGCACGAAGAAACTATTAAAAGCTATTTAAAAAAAACTAATAAAAATGGATTCAGTAGTCAGAATTTTGAGCACTGTATGAAACTAGTCAGAGCACTTCAAGGATGAAGATTTGAGTAGGGATGTTAATGATTAAAGATCATTATCAAAGCAATCGAGAAAATTTGAAAATTTGAGAATTTGAACTCGAAAGAAACTACTTCTATTAGATTAGAAGACAAGATCAGTGAACAGCAGATTTTTAAATCAACAGTCCACAAGTTACACTGGGAGCTTCTCAAACCAGTCCAGTCCTTCTGGGACTTTTAGTCTGGACTGCTCTGCATTAAACACTAGATTGAGACGGTCCAGTCTCATCACGGTTTCTGCCTCCACAGTAAATACTACTAAAAATTACATTTTAAAACACTATACTAAAAATGGTTATGCCTAGTAATGCAATATCTGTCTGTTGACGCAATACAGTGAATGAAAACCATCTGTGATTAATAAAAAA